CCTACAACAACAGCAACAACAACAACAACATCCTACAACAACAACAAGACAAAAGTTCCTCTTATCTCCTCAAGGCAGTTAACCAACAACTCACATTTAAACACAAATTCCAACTCATGGGAATTACCGCGACCGCAAAAGTTAAACCTGTTTTGGTAGGAAGTTTTTTGTGGGTTTTAAGGAGAATCTATCTGGCTGGTAAAGGTTTAAGCTCGTAAATAGTGATGCCGTTAAACCTACCAGCGTGTGCCCGTCGTCCATCTTCCAACCCCCGGCGACGGTGCCAAAAGTCTACACCGGCACATTTTTGTGGTGGTGCCACGTATATCTGTCTTATCTTGAGTCTTAACTTACGGTGTGTAGTTAATGTTCTTAGAAAGTAGTAAGGTAATTTTCTGGTGAGTAATTAGAGATGTGATGGTGTTTCTAAATGACTCACCTGAAGATTAACCACCCTCATGCTAACCTAACCACCCTCATGCTAACCTAGCCTAGCCTAACCTAACCTCATGCTAACCTAGCCTAACCTAACCTAACCTAACCTAACCACCCTCATGCTAACCTAACCTAACCAAACTTTATACATCAATTCCCCACAAAAATTTTATTAGTCTCGGTACAGGTTATAAGACCATTATACACGTCATCTCTAAATAATACTTCAAGTGAACCAATTAATAATATCTCCAGTTTAGGGAAATAATTTAGGAATGAGAGAATATTTCTTAGCGTTAATGAGTCAGTTAGGGACATTGTTTAGGGGGAAATTATCGTAAGAACCTTTGTGAATCAATCTTTATGTCGTAACTTGTGAAAGAGACTTAGTCGACTTGTGAAAGAGACCTAGGGGTACTTGTAAGCCCGGACCTACGGCCTAGAAAACAGTGCGTTAATGTTCGAAATAAGGCAAACAGAGTATTGGGTTTTATATCTAGAAGTGTAAGTAATAAGAGTGCAGAGGTCTTATTGCAACTATATCTTGCGCTAGTCAGGCCGCACCTCGATTATGCGGTTCAGTTCTGGTGCCCCTATTATAGAATGGATATCAATTCACCGGAATCGGTGCAGCGAAGAATGACGAAAATGATTCCGGGACTTAGAAACCTTCCATATCAGGATAGGTTAAAGAAACTAAACTTGCATTCCCTAGAAAGACGAAGAGTGCTGGGAGATATGATAGAAGTATTTAATGAAAGGAATCAATAAAGGATATAGAAAAGTTCTTATAATATCCGAGCAGGATAGACGAAGCAACGAAGTTGATAAGTTGATTAGGGAGGAGATAGAAGGAACTGGTTCACAAATAGGGTGGTGGACGAGTGGAACAAGCTTAGCAACTTTGTAGTAAGTGCTGGAACGCTGGAAAGTTTTAAAAGGAGGCTGGATAGATTCATGGATGATAGAGTGGTAGTAACTCTCGATAGGAGCTGCCATGCACAGGCCAACCGGCCTATTGCAGACTCCTTATTTTCTTATGTTCTTATGTTCTTAACTTAAGACGGTAAATGCATCCTTACATCTCAAGTTGGATAAATCTTAACTTAGGAATCATCACCTTACATCTCAAGTTGGGTAAATCTTAACTTAGGAACCTCTGAGACTCTCCATATCGTGTGTTATGTGAGACAGTTACTGCACGTTCTCGCCTGTCAGATGGAGAGAAAAAAGTGTAGTAAGAACCTTGGAGGAGGAGGAGGAGGAGGAGGGGGAGAGAAGAGGATAGAGGAAGAGGGAGAAGAAGGAGGAGGAGGAGGTGATGTGTGGCTCTTCTCTTGTTTTCTATCTATCAATCTGTCTCCTACGCTATACTGTGTTGGCTTGTCAACTTTTGCACCTCGTGGGGGAGGGAGGGAAAAGAAAGGAAGGAAGAAGAGAGAGGAAGAGGAAGAAGGAAGGGAAGAGGAGGAGTTAAATAGGTAGGCTTAGCTTTTAAATAGGCAAATATTAGACTGTTCCCCCACCTGGTGCTGACACAAGAGAGAGAGAGAGAGAGAGAGAGAGAGAGAGAGCCAGGTGACCAGCGGGCAGTAATCAGTAGGTATACCTGGTCGGGTCTCCAACCATCGACCAACACACCGTCTGCCCTGTCTCCACCTGCTGAAATACCTGGCCTAATTGATCCGTAGGGGGAGGTGATTTCCCTCGACTCGAGACGTTGAGGAAAAATTTCTCTCTTTTCTTTGCTCCTTTTTTTCTTCTCTCTCTCATCTCCTTCCTCCATAGGTCTCTTATTTTTACTTCCCTCCTTCACCCTCTTCCTCCTCCCTCCTTCTCTACCTATCTTTCGTTCCTCTACATCCCCTGTCCTACCACCTCTCATCATCCCTTCCCTCACCACCCTTCTTCCCTTCTCACCTCCTCACCCTCACGTCATCTCACCCACCACCCTCATCATCCTTCATCATCCCTCACCTCATGTCATCTCACTTACCACTCCTCATCATCCTTCATCATCCTCACCTCACGTCATCTCACTCACCACTCATCATCCTTCATCATCCCTCACCTCACCTCACCTCACGTCATCTCACTCACCACTCCTCATCATCCCTCACCTCCTCCTCCTCTTACCATCTCTCACCCTCCCCCACCCCCCCTAGTCACTCAGGTAGATAAATTCACCTGGGCGTCAGAGAGTTAATGAGAGTGTCACACAGGTGAGACAACTACCTGAAGATGGCTGACACCTCATGATAGATTCTCAAAGGTTCCCAAGTTAAAAATGTCTCCTAACTGGTGATGTGAAGACGTATCTAACTGGCTCTGCTAAGTTAAATCTTCCTCCTAACTGGTGATGTGTCGGAGCTTCTAATTGGTTGACGTAAGGCTGTGACACAAAGATGGTATCAAATATGGCGTCTAAAATACGCTGAGACTGTAAGAACGGTCAGGAAATGGTCCTAGTTGTGTTGTCGCGGCCCTGGTCATACTCCCGGTAGCGCTTATGATAAAATGTGTAAACAAATATCAAACTCCCTCACTGGGAAAAAAAAACATCAGTAAGTCAGTCAAGAGAAGCGGATATTGAGCTACCTGACACAGCCAACACTTACGAGAAAACACGTGAGGATCTTTGAAGAATGATGAATGTTTTAACACCTTGAAGATGATCTCACCTGTGTGTCGCTCTCATTAACCTTGTGACGCTCACCTGTTTTACTTAAGCTTTGTATATCTGTTCCCAGCTGGTGGTGGTGGGCGAGGGGTTATCCAGCTGGGCTGAGGAACCAGCTGTCTATAACTTCCCCTCGGCTTGGCTATCACCCGTTACCACCTGTCCTCACCACTAAAGACACCATTTGAACCACCTGTAATGACCCCTTATTTACACCACCTGGACCACCTGTTTAACATATATACGACTGCATCTCTCACCCCAACCCTCCTCCCACTTCACCCTTCCCTCCCTCCCTTTCTCCTCACCTCCTCCCACTTCACCCTTCCCTCTCCTCTACCTCCCACTTCACCTTCCTCCCTCCCTCTCCCCACTCTTCCCACTTCACCCTTCCTCCCTCACTTTCTCCCCACCCCTCCCACTTCACCCCTCCTCCCCTTCCCTTTCTCCTTACCTCCTCCCACCTCCACCCTCCCCCTCCCTTCTCTACCTCCTCCCACCACCCCTTCCTCCCTTCCCTTTCTCTCTCACCCTTCCTACTCTTCCTCCCTTCACTTTCTCCTCTACCCCTTCCCACTTCACCCTCCTCCCCTCTCCCACCTCCCACTTCACCCTCCTCTCCCCCTCCCTCTCTACCTCCTCTCCCACCTCCTCCTTCCCTTCCTTACCTCTACCCTTCCCACTTCACCCTCCTTCCCTTTCTCCTCACCTCCCTCCCACCTCCCTTACCCTTTCCCTCCTTACTCACGCACCTCTCTATCCCCCTCCCTCCTGTCCACCCACCTTGAGTCTGAGGTGTTGGGGAATCAAAAGATAAACATCTGGTTTGTTATTAAGAGTTGTTGTTGTGTTGTTGTTGTGTGTGTGTGTGTGTGTGTGTGTGTGTGTGTGTGTGTGTGTGTGTGTGTGTGTGTGGTGTGTGGTGTGTGTGTGTGTGTGTGTGTGTGTGTGTGAGTTTTTAAGGTGAGAGGAGAGTGAGTTAGGTTAGGTTAGGTTTGCTGGGGGCTTATTAGGAAACATACACACACACGAGCAGACATAGACAGACAGACAGACAGCAGACATAGACAGACAGACAGACAGACAGAGACAGACAGGAAGACACAGACATATTAAAGCCCACACGCACGAGTATAATAATTAGAATATAACCCATATAACACAGAGATGAAGAGATAATGTGTGTGTGGTGTGTGTGTGTGTGTGTGTGTGTGTGTGTGTGTGTGTGTGTGTGTGTGTGTGTGTGTGTGTGTGTGTGTGTGTGTGTGTGTGTGTGTGTGTGTGTGTGTGTGTGTGTGTGTGTGTGTGTGTGTGTGTGTGTGTGTGTGTGTGTGTGTGTGTGTGTGTGTGTGTGTGTGTGTGTGTGTGTGTGCGTGTGGGGGTGTGTGTGTGTGTGTGTGTGTGTGTGTGTGTGTGTGTGTGTGTGTGTGTGTGTGTGTGTGTGTGTGTGTGTGTGTGTGTGTGTGTGTGTGTGTGTGTGTGTGTGTGTGTGTGTGTGTGTGTGTGTGTGTGTGTGTGTGTGTGTGTGTGTGTGTGTGTGTGTGTGTGTGTGTGTGTGTGTGTGTGTGTGTCGTGTGTGTGTGTGTGTGAAGCATTAAGGCAGTGTGGAGCATAATCTTGTAACTGCAGTACACGACAGACAACCACACGGTAGGAGGAGTTAATTAATACCGGTAGGAGAAGGATAATACGTACAGGGGGCGGGGACGGCGGGGAGGTGGAGGTTGTAGGGCGTATCTAACTTGATCTCTTAACTTACGACACAAAGGCGGATCCTCAGCTGTCTTTACGTTCAATTTTTTTCTCTTAACTGGTGATGCGGGGACGAGTCTGACTCACTAAAGGCAAGATGGCGTCGGTTGCGCTAAGACTCTACCAAGGCTAGATGCAGGTGAGGGTGGGGGAGAGAGGAGGGAGGAGGGAGGGAGGGAAGAAGGGACAAGAAGAGAGAAGAAGGGAGAGAGAGAGCTAATATACGCCATTCCCTACCACCTCCTCTACGTACACCTCCCGTCTACATGCACACATACACACCATACACACACCCACGTATCCACACCCCACGTACCACACACACTCACACACATACACACCATGTACACACACCTCCACAACCACCCCACGTACACACATACACACCGTACACACACCCCACGTATATACACCCCCACGTACACACACACACAGCAATACTACAGAGACTTAAAGAACTAGAACACTGTGATAACATCTTGCAGGTAATAAAGTCCCGATCCATGACACACATAACAACACCAACATCAACACAACAACAACACAACAACAACAACAACAACACAACATCAACAACACAACACCAACATCAACAACACAACATCAAACAACACAACCGGCAGCCTGACACCAACATCAGCAACACAACATCAGCAAACAACCACAACATCAGCAACAACAACACAACAACGGCACAACACCATCAACAACGCACAACAACAGCACAACGTCAACACAGCACAACAACAAAACACCAGCAACAACACAACAACATCAACACAGCAACCAGCACAACATCGAAGCAACAACACCAACAACAACACAGCATCAGCATCGGCAACCAGCATCAAAGCAACAGCACAACATCAAACGACGCAACGTCGCGACAACCGGCAATACGCAGCATCGGCAACGACGCAACAACAGCACAGCATCAGCAACGGCGGCATCGAGCAACACCGGCGGCAACCTGACGTCGGCAAGCAGCATCGGCAACAGCAACGACGCAGCATCGACAGCAACCTGGCGTCGGCAACGAGCACGAGCTTTGAAGCAGCAGCACAGCATCGAAAGCAACGAGCACGCAAGCGTCGGCGCAACGAAACGACACAGCGTCAGCAACAAGCAACCGCAACGTCGACGACGCAGCATGCCGGCGTCGGCAGCACAGCAACGAAGCAGCACGACGAAACGACGCGAAGCAATCGGCCGCAGGCGCAGCACTTGAGCGCAACGTCAACGACGGCACGGCAACGGCAACAGCACGAGCATCCGGCGAAGCGACGCGAGCGTCGGCAACCAGCGCAGCAACGAGCACGGCATCGGCAACAACCAGCATCCCGACAACGCAACGTCAACGACAACGCAGCAACAACGCAACATCAGCAAGCAACGCAGCAACAACACAACGTCAGCATCGGCAACAGCATCAGCAACCGACGCGGCGTCAAACGGCAACACAAAGCATCAAGCAACAACCGCAGCATCAACGAAACGAAAGCAACACAACATCGACAGCACAACGCCAGCGAGGAAAGTCGACAGCGCAGCGTCGACAGCGCGACGTCGACGCAGCGTCGAAAACGACGCAACAGCAAGCACAACGTCAGCAACAAGCACAACGTCAACAACAACACAGCATCAGCAAGCAACAAGCACCAGCATCGGCGACGCAAGCAACAACACAACGTCAACGCAACATCAGCAACAAGCACGCTTCGACGACGCAAGCAACAACAACAAACAACATCAACAACCGCTGTTAACAACACCAACGTCAGCACAACATCGGCTTGTAACGCATCAACAACGGCGTCGACACAACGTCAACAGCAACACAACAACAACACGACATCAGCAACAACACAGCAAGCAACAACAACACCAGCGTGACAACGACGCAACGTCAACAACAACGCAACAAACAACACCAACATCAACAACAACACAACAACAACACAACGTCAACAACAACACAACAACAACAACGACACAGCATCAGCAACAGCGCAACATCAACGGCAACTGACAGCAAGCACAACATCAGCAACAGCAACAGCATCGGCAACGCAGCATCAGCAACAAACGCAAGCAACGACGCAAGCGTCAGCAACGACACAACAACAAGCACAACATCAACATCGGCAACCAAGCATCGACAACAACACGGCGTCAACGAAAGCAACACAACGTCAACGACAACACAACATCAGCAACAACACGAAAGCAACAACAACATCGAAAAGCAACAACACAACATCAACAACAACAGCAAGCATCAACAACAACACCAACAACACAACGTCAACAACAACACAACATCAGCAACAACACAGCAACAACACAACGTAAGCAACAACACAGCAACAACACAACATCAGCATCGACGCAGCATCAGCAACAACAAACTGCCCATCAACTTAACCGGCACGACATCCGACACAACATCAGCAACAACACAGCATCAACAACACAACAACAACACCAGCATCCAGCAACAACATCAACAGCAACAACAACTGAAAAAGCATCAACAACAACCACAGCATCAGCAACCAGCACAACACAACAACAACACCAAGCAACCAGCACAACATCAACATCAACGCAACATCGGCAACGGCACAACGTCAACAACAACACAACATCAGCAACAGCACAACATCAGCAACAGCACAACATCAAGCAACAACACAGCAACAACGGAACATCAAAGCAACGCAACATCAGCAACAACGCAACAACAACACAACATCAACATCAACACAACATCAACAACAACACAACATCAAGCAACAACACAACATCAACAACAACACAACATCGAAAGCAAGCAACACAACAACGGCACAACATCGGCAACTTGTACCAACATCAGCAACAACGCAACAACAGCACAGCATCGGCAACAACACAGCATCAACGAAGCACAACATCAGCAACAACACAGCAACAAGCAACAACCGCAACATCCAGCAACAACACAACATCAACAACAACACCAACAACAACACAACATCAACAACAACACACCAACATCGCTAACAACACAACAACAACACAACATCAAGCAACAACACAACAACAACACAACATCAAAGCAACAACACAGCAACAAGCAACAACACAACATCAACAACAACACATCAACAACAACACAGCAAACAACACATCCAACAACAACACCAACAACAACACAAACAACAACACCAACATCAACAACAACACCAACAACAACACAACAACAACACAACATCAACAACAACCACCAACATCAAGCACAACATCAACAAGCAACACAACATCAACAACAACACTGCAACAACGCAACATCAGCAACAACACAACAACAACACAACATCAACATCCGGCACAACATCAGCAACAACACCCAGCATCAACAACAACACAACATCAACAACAACACAACAACAACACAACATCAACATCAACAACAACACAACAACAACACAACATCAACATCAACACAACATCAACAACACAACATCAACAACAACACAGCAACAACAACAACAACACAACATCAACAACAACACAACATCAACACAAGCGTCGAGCAACAGCGCGAGCAGCAAGCGCAACGACGAAGCGCAACGTCGACGCAACGTCGACGACGCAACGTCGGCGACGGCGCAGCAAAGCGAGCGAGCGGCCAACGACGACGCGACGACGAAACGACGTCGGCGACGACGCGGCGTCGACGAAGCGACGGCGCGGCGTCGACGGCGCGGCGTCGACGACGCGAAGCGTCGACGCGGCGTCGAGCGACGAGCGCGACGAAGCGCAGCGTCGACGACGACGCGGCGTCGACGACGACGCGACAACGAGCACGAGCATCGACGACGGCCGCAGCAAAGCGACGCAGCGTCGACGACGACGACGGCACGCGACGAGCAGCGCGACGTCGACGACAAGCACGCGACGACGACGCGAGCGTCGACGACGAGCGCGGCGTCGTCGACGACGCAGCGTCGACGACAGCGCAACCCAGCAAGCAACAACGCAACGTCAAAGCAGCAAGCGGCATCGGCAACGGCACAGGCAGCAACGCAGCAAGCAACCCGACAACGGCAACGCAACAACAACAACAACACAAGCAACAACCGCAGCATCAGCAACAACACCAGCAACAGCAACAACACAACAACAACACAACCAACAACAACAGCAACAACAACCTAACATCAAAGCAACAACGCAAACAACAACGCAAGCATCAACAACAACCACAACAGCAACAACAGCAACAACAACACAACAACAACACAACATCAACAACAACACCAGCATCGAAACAACAACACAACCAACAACAACAGCAACAACACAACATCAACAACAACACAACAACAACACAACATCAGCAACAACACAAAAGCATCATCAACAACACAGCATCAGCAACAAAACACCAGCAACAACACAACATCAACGAAAGCAACACAACATCGAAGCAACAACACCAACAACAACACAGCATCGACAACCAACAACAACACCGAAGCAACAGCAACAACACAACAACAACACAGCATCCAGCAACAACACAACATCAACACCACAACATCAAGCAACAACACCCAACAACAACTGCAGCATCGGCACAAGCATCAGCAACAACACCAGCAACAGCACAGCATCAGCAACAACGCAGCAACAACACAACATCAACATCAACACAACTCAGCAACCTGACATCAGCTTACCGACGCAGCAACGACACAGCAATGACACAGCATCCAGCAACAGCGCAGCATCGGCAACAGCACAGCATCCGGCGACGACGCAAGCAACGAGCGCAGCAACGAAGCACGAAAGCAACAACACGACAACTGCAACAACAACACAGCAACAACAGCATCAGCAACAGTGACACAACGTCAGCAACAACACAAGCAACAAGCACAACGTCAGCAACAACGCAACAACAACGCAACGTCAACATCGGCACAAGCAAGCAACACAACAACAACACAACATCAACACAACAACAACAACACAGCAAGCAAGCAACATCAACAACAACACCAGCAGCAACACCAGCAACAACGCAACAACAACACCAGCAACAACACCAGCATCAACAACAACACAAGCATCAACAACAACACAACAACAACACAACGCCAGCAACAACACACAACAACAACGCAACATCAACATCGGCTTTAACCAACAACACAACAACAACACAACATCAACAACAACGCAACGTCAACAACAACACCAACATCAACAACAACACAACAACAACACAACAACAACACAAGCAACAACGCAAAAAACGAAAGCAACCACAACAACAACACAACATCAACAACAACACCAACATCAACAACAACACAAGCAACAACACAACATCAACAACAACGCGTCGTAACCAACAGCGCAACATCCGGCACAACATCAACAACAACACAGCAACAGCACAACATCAGCAACAACACAACATCGGCACAACATCAGCAACAACACCAGCATCAGCAAAGCAACACAGCAACAACACAACATCTGCAACAACACGAAAGCAACAACACAACAACAACACAACATCAGCAACAACACAACATCAACAACAACACGCCAAGCTTAAACACAACAACAACACAACATCAAAAGCAACAACACAACATCAACACAACATCAACCAGCAACACCAACATCAGCAACAACACAACAACAACACCCAGCAACAACAACAACACAGCAACAACACAACACATCAACATCAACACAACATCAGCAACAACGCAAGCATCAACAGCAACACAGCATCGACAACGGCACGGCAACAGCACAAGCAACATCGGCGCAACGTCAGCAACAACACAGCATCAGCAACAACGCAACAACTGACACAGCATCAGCAACAGCACAACAACAGCAACACAACGTCAACGTCAACCGCAACATCCAGCAGCAACACAGCATCAAGCAACAACACAACATCAGCACAGCCAACATCAACACAACATCAACAGGTGATACAAGTACAAACATCAAAGTTAATTGGATCACCTGAATATCTTAGGCTGTTGGGGTTGTCAGGTAAGGGGGTATAGGGATGAGGGACCAAGGTGAGTGGGGCAGGGGATGAGGGGACGGAGTGGGGGGGAAAAGGGGATGAGGGGAACCAAGGTGAGTGTGGGGGTGTCAGGGATGAGGGGATCAAGGGTGAGTGTGGTGGTGTCAGGGGGATGAGGGGGACCAAGGGTGAGTGTGGGGGTGTCAGGGGATGAGGGGACCAAGGGTGAGTGTGGGGGTGTCAGGGGATGAGGGGACTAAGGGTGAGTGTGGGGGGTGTCAGGGGATGAGGGGGACCAAGGGTGAGTGTGGGGGTGTCAGGGGATGAGTGGATCAAGGGTGAGTGGGGGGGATGAAAGTGTGGGGTGTCAGGGATGAGGGGGACCAAGGGTGAGTGGGGGTGTCAGGGATGAGGGGACCAAGGGTGAGTGTGGGGGGTGTCAGGGGATGAGGGGACCAAGGGTGAGTGTGGGGTGTCAGGGGTAAGGAGGGGATCAAGGGTGAGGGGGGGGTGTCAGGGGATGAGGGAGACTGGGAAGAGTGTGGGGGTGTCAGGGATGAGGGGACCAAGGGTGAGTGTGGGGTGTCAGGGATGAGGATCAAGGGTGAGTGGGGGGTGTCAGGGGGATGAGGGGGATACAAGAGTGTGGGGGGTCAGGGGATGAGGGGATCAAGGGTGAGTGGGGGTGTCAGGGATGAGGGGACCAAGAGGGGGGTGTCAGGGGATGAGGGGGACCAAGGGTGAGTGGGGGTGTCAGGGTAAGGAGGGGACTCGCGGGTGAGTGGGGGGGTGTCAGGGGAGTGAGGGAGATCAAGGGTGAGTGTGGGGAGTGTCAGGGATGAGGGACTGGGTGAGTGGCAAGGGATAGGTGAGGGGTGTCAGGGGATGAGGGAGATCAGAGTGAGTGTGGGGGTGTC